AGGGCGAGAGCCAAGCGGCCTTATCGATAGGGAGTAAGAGAGAGATATACATATAGAAAGAGGGAGAGCGGAAGCAGATCACGAGAGTTTAGCCAGCCATAATCACGCCTGCCATTTGTGGCCCAATAACAAAAACAATAACAACATTTAATCCTCTTTCTGTTTTGATTCTAGTGCCCTGACACGAACCTGAACACATTGGTTCAGGTGTTAGTTTTGACATTCGCCAGGATAGTGTTTGATTAAGCCCTGGCCCACTTGCCTCTCACATTGTTTGGCCACTTGCCAATGGAATTCTACCTGGTGGACGTGAGTTATATGCAGATGCACTCGAAGCGATGGATTACACGAATTACCCATGGAAATGTGGTGCTGGCAAATTGATGAATTGTTGTTGTCTGATACTTATTGTCTAGTGTTTACATTTGCACTATATATGATTAAATGGTTCGCTGGCAGCTTTATATTTGTGGGTACACAGCAACAGCAAAAACAACAATATCGAAACACTTGAAAGTACATGTAATTAAAATACCATCCCAAAAAGCTGTTACCAGCTCATGATATCGTGCATGTCACTCGATTATTGTTTGTCGATTGTTGCTGTGTAACTAACTAATCGGCAGGCTATACAGGCTCTGCCATCCCTAACCAGCATAAGCTGGGATGATTTACGGCCATCACTGACAGCAGCCTGTTGCCAGCCAACGATGCGTATGTGTAACCAACTGCTCTTGGTTCAGGGGCGAACACAATGTCTGCCGACTGCTGAATGATGAGTGTCAATGGCAGACTCAATGCCACCCAAAAATGTACTCACACTGATCATTGTGTTGTTCTGTTTTGCAGACAACAATTCGTTGAACCCAATTCAAGTGGTTGCTTAACTCCGATCTCGAGTGGCTTTTAGGTGCTGAAGGGGGTATCCAAGTCATCGGGGCAAGGTCAGACGCTTAGCTCTTTAATTGCCCAGTGAATGCTCACTGTGATTGGGTTTGCTATCAATATCGTAATTGTTATATGATTTTATTTGTTTGCTTGTCTGGAACTGAAATCTGTTGAATATTTGGGGCTAGGCAAATTCAGCAATTATTATCTATTTGCAAAAAATTTTCCTTCAAATCATATAATCTTTATGAGTTTCGCACGATACCCAAACGTGCCCAGTCATGGATACGATTTTCACTCATATACCTTCTCAGGTGACTAAGAAATAAAAGCCAGAACAAAAACATGCTCCGAAGATTAAATACCCTATCAGATAAGCGAATTTGAAGACTTCTTATATCTCGAATGATAAAGAACTTTATAGAACTGAAGATTGGACAGTTTATCCAGCATGATATAGTTGTGGGGTCGAACCGGATTTAGATAGAAAATTGGCATCATAAATATATTTTTCTATCATGATATCACTGATACATGCTTATGTTACGATTTTCATGATAAACTCATAAGTACCCTAAATAACTGTAGAACACCAGTAAATTGACACGAAACTTTTACCTCCTAGTGCTTATCGTTGACTCAAATTTCACAATAATTTGATTAATTAACAACAAGCTTAGTCAATACTAGATAATTACCAAGTAATGCTTGGAATGCCAACTATTTGGTCTGAAGTTCAATTATCAATAACAATACAAACCCGAAAAACAAGTCGCCATTCATTTCCCAGTATCAATTGGCTCCTTCACGTGATAATCTGTATTGGTAGATCTGCTCGAGGATTCTCTAGAAACTCGCGAAAAAAAATAACGATCTGACTACGTGAAGCTCCAAACACCAGTTCCTCAGCTATTCAAATGGCTAATGAACAATATAACCGGATCCTAAGCTGTATAACCACGAGTTTATGTTATATAAATCAGATTTGAGGCGTGGCCATAAATTTTACCGATTTGGATCTTGGCAAAAAAGAAAACAACAACAACAACAAAAAGAGCTGAGAGAGGCGAACATGGCGCTAATCGGTAATCGCTATTTGATAAAGCTTTCAATGCATTCCGTCCTCCAAGAACTCTTGAAAAGTCAACAATTTTCGGTGTATACGCAAAAACAAGAGAATTATCATAATCAGTAATTTCTTCACTCAATTGGCAAGGCAGCAATGTTTATCTAAGGGGTCGTACATTGAATTTATTATAATTATTTATTCTTTCAATACTAACTATGTAAATTTGTTGTCTATGCATATTCTTTCAACTCGCATTGCTTCTTTGTTCTCTCTATCTACTCCTTTCACCGTTATCATATATTATTCCTTCTGTTCCTATCTATAAGAATATGTGATGGAGAAGATAAGGATCAAGGCTTTCTTCTCCACATTTTACTCATTTCTCTTCTTCTCATACATTATATTTCGGCCTCATACCAAATCTTCATGTAATTCATTAGGACTACGGTTTAGAGTAAAATCTAAACCAAACCTAACCTAGTATAATTATTCATTTATACGATTAGGCAACTATTTAAAGTGTTTATATAAGACGATCATTTTATTGTTATACTATTTGGCGAGCCCCTTGTTGCAGCTATGAAAAACTAAAACAAGCTGAGAATACTCACGTAATCAGCAGGTTACGTCGGTTCTAAATATTGTATAGGGGCAAATGTGAAACGTGATCTAAGCAATCCATAATTAGTGACAGCTGTCAAAAGGGAATGAATGTTTCAGGTGGGTGTGTGTGCGTGTGTATGCGAGCATTCTATATAATACATCCGTATCAGGCTGCAGCCGCATGTATTTGATAAGGCTCCATTTTGCCTCTCGCTCCTGTTTCTGTCTAATTTGACAAACAGGCGACAAAACAAGGCGTTGATTATCTATCGGCCCCAGCGATGGGAACTCCGCTGTTTGGAGTGGGGGGCAAATCGGAATTTTCGCAATGTTGACAAGCATTTGATTAAAGAGTCTACTAACACGTACCTGGTACATGTGTGTGCGGTAGATGATGGATGGAGCTGGCATTGAATGATAGCAATTATATCAACAGCATTTGAATCATCAGCTCAATGAGGTAAATCTTCTCCTTATTGCCTAAGACAGCTGACGGTAACCCTGCTACGCCATATAGGGCTTTAGGTATATAGAACTAATCCAGTCCAAAAAGAACCGTTTTATAAGTCTAAAGTGCCTTTCGCAATCGTAAAACACAAACAGGTATATACTAGTTTCAAGACAAATCCCTGCCAATAAAGTGATTGGCAAACTTAAACCTATTTTACTGACCATTCCTACAATCCATTTATTTAATTTTATTAAAAACATCCTCCATGTGTAAGTGGTAAGGCGCCATTTACCAGGCAAACATTTTCTGCGTCGTCTAAAATTAGAAGAGCTCAGTTTATGGAGCGCATTATAAAGATGTTGAGATTATACAAATAGCCTAATCGGACTATAATTAACAACATTAAGTTTGATCAAGTGCTTACGCCTTTCCTACTACACACTTTACTGCCAGTACTTCAAGTATATATATTTAACAGGAGCTTATTGTTGCTGTGCAATAGACATTGTAAGTACAGGGTATCTGACTTCTCATACAGTTAGAAAACTTTATTGTTAATTACCATTTTACAGCTTACTCATAGTCTTTTGAAGAGCTTGTATTAAATATTGTACATTGGCATACAGCAAACATTATATAGAACAAACGACATCGTCTCTAGTTAAATATATATGTTATATGTATATGTATATTACACTCTAGGCGAAATTTAATAGATATAAATCGAATGTATTGACAGTATTACTGAATCTGGTTACGTTTGCGAGCGACCTGACCTCATTTCAGTATGGACCATTTCAATTGTTCGCGCGCCGATTGCAACACCTGAAATAGAGAAACATCAGAAAACAATTAACCAATGAACTTCTTGAGAAATGATAAGAGAAACAAAATGCATAATGCTGTCAATGAGCCAATACTACACATTTATTGTGATCAAACGAAATTAATACAACTAATAGAGTAAACTCTTTGCGTCAAAGACAGGTTTATAAATAAAATAACATAAATTAATATACATAAGTGCTGCATAGGTTCAAATACATCTAGTTTAACTTGAAAGAGCGAGCATATGATATGCCTAGATATTGTTCATAAAGTTGGATTAGGAAACTGTTTGTGCTAGTGCTACCAAAATAGACCATTTATTGTGTTAGTTACCTGAGCCACGGTCTGTTCGGCAATTGGAATATCCTCGTTGCGTAGATCGACACGTTTCACCACAGACGATGGATCCGCATCCAGAATTATGCTGTAAAAACAAATCATATATAAATCACATCGATTATTCAATTGTTCAACTACTTACCCGCCATCGCAAATCTCATCGAACGCCAACATAATGATCTCCAGGTTATCCAGCACCAGCCGCTTCTCAACGTTCTTTTTGAGGATAAGGCTTATGGAGTCGTACAGACAGTTGAGCACAGACAGCAATATCAGCTCATTTTCGTACGCATTGCCCATCACGTAGAAAAACAAGTCCACGTTGCTCTTGTAAACACACGTCAGACCGTCGAGCATGATGATTTCAGTGTTGGAGCGGTGCGTCTTGTTAAACAAATTTTTCTCAAACGCCTTCTGCTCCTTCAACGTGGACAGAATGTTTTTGTCATAGTACTTAGCCAGTATCCGGTTGCCATCATTATCCATAATGCACATGCCCTTAATAATATCCTACATAGCAAAGGAGTGTCATATTTCATTTCAACTCATAGTAAACAAATAAATTCACAATTACCATCATAAATCCGTCCATCTTGTTGCCAGCAAAACACAATTCTTTGCGGCCGCTACGCATTTCCCAGCACTGGTTTGGTTATTCGATAAGAGACAGCTGTTTATTGTTGAGCTATCGATGAGCGCTAGTTATGTTATGCTGTTAGTTTTCTGTTAAGTTAAATGTGTTATCGTTCTGACAGCTTAACGGCTTTTGAAATCATGGATTTGTAGTAACAATGCTTTTCCTTAAATGTTATGTGGTCAAACATAATTAACAAAAATATTATTGAACCGGTATTATATACCGTACTAAATTGTGAAATTAAAATAACACACACACAAACACTTTTGCGAGCTTGCAAACGAAATTTATCATCTCCACTGAATTATATTTTTGTTGATAGCTTGATGTAATGGATTGTTCGCCAGATAACGGCGCATATCAAGAGTTAAAAGAATTTTCCAAAGAGGCAAAGCACGCTAAAGAGGACGTTGGGTTTGTTGGAGCACGCAAGCCCCCTCGACGCAAGAATGATAAAGTTGATTGCCATGTCGTCGTAGGTACCGCAGCTGTCCGTCCAAAGTCTCTTAAATCAGAGGGAAAAAAGCTGCGCAAGAAGCTCATGGAGTTCGAGCAAGAGAACCAAACGCTGGCCAAGACTATCACAGACAAGAACCAAGAGATTTGTGCACTCAAGCGCTCAGTGGACTCACTAAATGAAGTGCTCAACTCAGTGCCCATAGATGAGCTGCGCTGCAATTCCTCTATTGCCGGCACCAAGATATTGGAGCTAAGCAAAAAGAATCGTCAAATGCGCGCTGAGTTGGAGCAGTTTAAGAATCGCATGAACAAGAAAGATATCCAAATTGAGAAATTGGAAAGAGAGCTAAAGTCTAACGAAGAGAAGTTGCAGCAGAACGGAGAGCTATTAAAGAAGAGCAATGCCACAGAAGAGCTTCAGGCAAAGATTACCAGCATGCAGCAGAAGCTCTTCGAGACACGCAACAAGAATACTGAGCTGCAGAACCAGCTGAAGCTGGCCCACAAGTGCCTGCAGCACGAGATTGGGGAGACAGTCAACGTCAACATCTTGTCCAATAATCTGAATCAAGCCAACTGGCGTGGACGTGCTCAACAAATTCTAGCACTGCAACAGAAGCTCCAGGAGCTAAAGGCGCGCCTGGATACCTATGAGAATGGTGCATGCGATCGTGCTGACTTTATGCCATTGCCACTTGGATCGGACTTGGAACTGGGTAGCACCCACAGCTTGAAGCTAACTCCACGCGGTGGTAAGGCTCTCCATTCGCCGGGTAGACACAGCTCCAGTGTTAGCCTGGGCGCCGGCGATACTGGCGGAGCCACATTTGATCGTTTTACGCCGGGCGTGCGCAAAAGCGAGATCTTGCACCGGGCCAAGGTTGAAACCATGGAGAAGGAAATCGCGGCACTGCAGGCACAGCTGGACGAGCAGCGCAGTCGCAATCTGGCACTCAAGGTGCGCAACAAGACTCTCAACGAGGACATGCTCAAGTACAAGATGCGCTCCAGCGAACTGGAGGAGCTGTCTGATTGCAATGGCGTCAATTCCAACACGATGAATGATAAATTGAATCGTCAGCGAAATCAATATGAAAGCCGTTTGGAGGAGATGCGAAATGATGTCATACGCATCAGCGAGGAACGCGACACTGCCAAGCGCCAGAAGGAGGAGCTGAGCGGCATGAACCTGGAGCTGGAAACCCAGCTGAAGCAGAAAGATTGCACTATACAAAATCTCCAGGAGATGATTAAGAAACTGGAGACAGATTTGCGCGCTGTCACTGGAGGATTTCTCTTCTCCTGTCGCGAGTTTCGCAAGGTGAGTCAGAAACTAAAATTTATACCAAGAGAGTGTAAATGCTTGAAACTCACTGCAGGAAGAATTTGTGGGCATACTGGATGCATTGGAGGTGGAGAAGAATCAAATGATGTTGCTGAATAAAACTTTAGACGAGCGACTAGCAGCAGAGCGCCTGAAGAATGACTCATCTACCGATCTGATTGCCAAGCAGAAGACACGCATCTCTCGCATGGACGCCAAAATACGTGAACTCGAGAAAGAGCTCGATATTCAGTCGGATCGCAAGAAGCGCACTCAACGTATAACTGAATATGCTAATGCACTCGGACGCACTCCATTGACCGGGTCGATCAGTTCCTTTAGTTTTGACAATCAGTCACAGTGCCCATCGGTTACCTCGTTCAACTCGGTGGGCGACGAGTCCAAGTTGGAAGATATGAAGAATCAGTAAGTGGCATGCGACAATTGAAATTGTTATACAATTCCTATTCCCGCACAGATTGGAGCTGGCCAATGAGAAGATCACCATGCTCACCGAAAAGCTAGAGTATATAACTGAGGAGAAACGTGCCGATGCCAAGTTCTTCGAGGAGACAATGCTGAACTCCAAGAATATCATATTGGACACCATACTGGGCTCTCGCAGCAGTGTCAGCCAGCCAACAATTAACAAATCGGAAGGACAGCTCGAATTGCCTGTCATTAACGATGCCTGAGTCCGAGCAATGTTTTCATGTCTTAGTTATGTTTCTTTATATCATGTTCCATGTGGCCGAATTAAATTTCAATGATAAGAATGTAAACAAATCTTAAAATTGATTGGTGAAAGGCAGAAGAAAGCAAGAATTGAGCTCAACTGGGGCTAGATAAAGTTAGAGCAGCAAACTGAATTCTGCCTATAACTCTATATAAACTTTCAATTTTATTTGAGATTCATTCTGTCTGTTCCTTAATCAAAGACCTGTTCTCTTTTTTTTTTGTAATTTTGTAGTTTTATTTGTAACACTTTGAAAACGAAGCCTTTGGCGCTGCTTCACTCGATTTTTGTTAAGTTAAGTTTGTTTTGTTTTTGTCGTATTAATTATATAATTGTTTAATATTTAGGCATATTTCATAGTACAATTGCAAGTGGCTTTGTTTATGCTTTAAGTTTATGTGTGAATATGCGTATGTATTTATATTAGTTAATTATTGCATACTTGCAGCTGTGTGTACGTGTACGTGTGTGTGTGTGTGTGTGTGTAATACCATTTATTGGCTATAAACTATGCGCGTGTATATTATATGACAACAATTACAAAGTTTCTCCATAAACACCATCACATATTTGTATATTATTCATGTATTGTAATATTGTATGTCGTATCAGATATATATATATATTTTTTATAGTAAAACAAATTGTTTATCAAACGGTATTTTAGGCTTGCTTGAAATTCGTTTCGATTTGTTAGTCATATTTTCATATATATATATATGGTCTATATTTATATTTAGTGTATTATACGATAAGCCTAGTAAATGGTTTATCTAAAAAACACGTTTAGCAAATTAAAGGCACTTCAAGGATTTTATAAAACGAAACAATTTTAAATATCCTAGAATTATTAGAAACGAAAACAAATTGCAAGTGCTTATATTATTTATATAATAATGAATGAAGAGTTTGAAGAGAAACACTTTAGCAGGTGAGCAAATCAATAGCAATTAATTGCCTACCCGGGTTTGAGCTTATGCAACACGCATAATTTCATATTCATTTCTTCCTCAGTTACGATTTCTAGTTAAATTGACAAAATTGTAGGGATACGCATCCAATTCTTCCATCTAGATGCCGCAAAGCTTTTTGGAAAAGCACAAGTTTAGTTTAGGCTGCCCGAACATTATACTAACTATGCTGCACTGTTATTGTGTATCAAGTATTTAGTTGTTCAATATATCTTACTAATACTAGATTCTAATTCCATTAGATTAGATATATATATATATTCTGTGACAATTGAATTTGTTAAAATGTTTGGCTAGGCATATGTAGAATCCAATTAATTATTGGTTAGCTGGCATTTTAGATAGTTGATTAATTATTCAGTTATTGTATATAGTTCAATAAATATTTTTCTAAATTTTACGGCCTTTTCTTTTGTAGATAAATGCAAAATTTTGGCTGGGTTAGCTTGGTCGCTTAAATTGGAAAATGTTTTTGCCCTTTTTCAGCATGTAAAATTACAAAAATTTTCGCTCATTGTTGTTGTTATTGTGGCTTGTTCAGTTTTTTTTTTTATTGTATGTGGATATTATTCTTATAAATGGCTTATAGTTTTTTGTTTTTCATGGTTCAATTTCACATTCAATTTTATGCTATAAATTTTACAATTGTTTTCCTTCAGTTTTTTTTCTGTGTTATGTTCGTTCTCATTTCCCTTTGTTTTACATGTTGACCTGTCGACTATATATATTCTCTATATATATATATATTTATGAAATTATGTAATTTTATGTGGGCGTGTGTGTTTGTGTGGAATTAGGCGTGAGTATGTGTGTGTGGGTGTGTCTCAGCGCCGCCTGAATACGTGATTGAAATAGTAGTAAATATCCTGTTCCGCTTGCTGCTGTTGGGGAGTCTTTCGTGTTGGCTGCTGTTGATGCTGCTTCGGATCCACTTGTGGATGATAATTGTTGTAGTGATGATAGCCATGCATATCGTATGGATTGTGGTGTCCCGGATGTATGCCCGGATGAATGCCCGCACCACCACCACCGCCGCCGCCGCCGCCACCCATCATCGGATTGCCGCCTGCCCGCATTAGATTCGTGTGCATATTACGATCAGCCAGAAAGACATTGATGAAGAAGATCAGCACGAGCAATATATACAGCAGGCAGACCAGTATGACCACAAACTGCTGGCGGCAGCAGCAGTAGTAGCACATTCCCTATTATATAACCGCCTGCTCCACATAGTTGGCGGGCAGCATGCCGGTCTTGCCGGTGCGCTCCACACGTCCGGTCATCCAGCCGGAGTCAATTGATTCCACCTCGAATATAACATCGCCCTCGCGAAAACTAACCTCGTCCACATCCTGTGCCTCATAGTCGTAAATGGCTCGATAGACGCGCTGACAAATTGAAGAAGTCTTTGATTAGCTCCAATTTCAGATAATTGAATTCCATTACTTACCAAGTTGCCTTGGCGCGACTGTTTATCCTGCAGCTGGGCTGGCTGTTGGCGCGCCTGCTGTTGCTGCTGCTCCTGCTGCTGCATCATTTGCACCTGCTGATAATATTGCTGTTGTTTCTGGGCGTGCGCCTGCTCGCTGGTCAGTGAGCCGTAAATGCCATTGGCGGGATCTATGTCCGAGATGGAGCCAATGCGTTTCGGGTAAACGCTATTACCTGTTGGGATCAACGCATTCGTTAGACTGGGAATTAGCACATCTATCGAGATACTTTAGGGTACAAGGACAAGGACAAGATGACGTTGATGCACATCGAGCTAAGCTAAGCTGAGCGCTACCGAACTACCAGCTAGCCTGCCACTGACCCCATCGACAGCAGTCTGATCTACTTACCCACGGCTGCGGCGCCGCGCTGATCGGAGCTGTACACCAGAGTGGTGCTAGAGCGTCCGGTGGCTGGCATCGGCCGTGGTCCGTCCGTCAGCGGATCATAGTCGGCAATTTTGCCAATGTTGTTGCTGCTCTGCTGTGCGTTCAACACGTTGGGCAAATGCCCATTGCTGGCCTGCAGCTTGGCGCCCAAAGCGTTCTCGGATGGCGTTACCGCACTATAGTTGGATGCCACATACAGCTGCTGCACATTGGTGTTGCTCTGATGTTGCTGTTGCTGCTGCAACTGTTGCTGCATCTGCAGCTGATGCTTGGAGTTGTTGCTGTGCACGCTCGACTGGGAGCGCACCTGCTGCGGCTGCTGCTGCTGCTGCTGTTGTGTGTAGCTCAAACTGGCCGGATGCGGATGTGCCAGTCCGCCATTGTTGTTGTTGTTGTTGTTGCTGTGAATGCTGCCGTTGCTGGCATTGTTGTTCAGCAGACTGTTGTGCGAATGTTGCTGCTGGATTGTTGGCTGTTGCAGTTGCTGCTGCAACTGTTGCTGATGCAGCGCCGTTGCCGAGTTCTGGCTGTGATCGAACTGATCCGCCGCATTTCCACTGGGATGATGTGAGTTGTGCAAAATGGCCGAGCGCAGCTGATTGTAGCTATTGACCGCCTGCGGCTGCTGTTGTTGTTGTTGCTGCGACTGCTGTGACTGCGATATTGCTGTGGGATACAGATGTGAGGATTGTTTAATGGCATGTTGCTGCTGCTGTTGTTGTTGTTGTTGCTGCTGCTGCAGCAACTGTTGCTGGCGCAGTGCCTGCGGCTGTTGATAGTGTGCGTATGGATCGTGCTGCTGCTGCTGCGGCTGCCTGTGATTTTGTTGCTGCAGCAACTGTTGCTGCTGCTGCTGCTGTGGCAGCTGCTGGTGTTGGTGTTGATATGTGGGCGTTATGGCCGCCGTATTGTATTGCTGGTGTTGTATTGGTGGTGGTGGCAGCGTTTGTTGTTGTACATAGTGTTGGTGTTGTTGTTGCTGGTATTGTTGGTGCTGCTGCTGCTGCTGTTGGTGGTGTTGCTGCTGCTGCTGCTGCTGCTGTTGATGCAGTGTTGCTGGCGGTATGGGCGAGGCTGTGGGTGCATATTGCGAGAATTGTTCAGCTGCCAATTGCTCAGAGAAATATTCCGATTCGTCTGCACCAATTATGTTTTTAGTTCATTCCCCCAGAGTTAGATTTTTTTTTATGCATGTGTGTGTGTTGATGTTTTTTAAGAGTGTTGTGTAACGTTAGGTTAACGGTAGTTCAGAAAGCACACACAATTTATGAGTGCGTTTGATGGTGTTGTTGTTGTTGTTGTTGGAGTTGATGAATGAGCAACAAATGATAAGCGAAAACGATAAAAACAAATAAAATAAAAAACAAAAGGAATTATAATCAATCAATTAATTACAATGTGGGAGAGAGACAGAGATAGTAGCTGTGGCTTATGTTGCTGCACTGTGGTACAAAATTAATTTTGGTTTAGTAAATGAAATGAAATGAATAAAAGTGTTATATATACACTAATGAGAGCAGTGTTGGCAAACAGTGTTGGTAATTGGTAATTGTGTGCCCATGAGAGTGTGCTTGTGAACCGAGCTTTAACCACATTTCATAGCAAACATAGCAGACTTCACACCACTGTGCGCACATAATGCGCTCTAATGAGCATTATAAATGATGATTTAATCTGTTTAGTCACATTTAATGCATATGAATTGACGACAATTGCTGATAATCGTGCATTGAGAAAAAAAAACATACAAATTCAAAAGCCAAATTAACTTCACTCTAAACGCATTTTAGCCAACAATTGCCAGCACTTACAGGTGAGATAGTGATATATTTAGAGACAGACAGAGAGAGAGATAGAGATAGCAGGAAATGGGCAAAGAGACAGAGAGATAGGAAAATTGGTTACTCACTGCTGCTGTCGGAGACCTCGGCAGAGCCGCGCTGCTTCTCCATGGCTGCCTTCTTCTCCAGATCGCCGTGATATGCCACATTCGATATGTGCTTCGTGTTTTGTTTGATGCGCAGCGTTTCCGGGTCGTCTGCCACCTGTCGAGCGTTCAAGAAGTTCAATGTTAATTATCATGATGGAAATGCACAAACACACATATACATATATGTATATACATATATATAGTCGACTCGCATAACTGACCTGTGTAAATTTGCCTTTGGCCTTCTCGAAGTCTGCATGGTATTTAACGTTCGATTGGATTTTCGTATTTTCCGCGATGCGCTTCAGCTCGGGCGTATCCGCAATCGCCGTTGCCTTGGCCTTGGGTATGTGCCTGCAAAGAGTCAAAGAGAGAGAGAGAGAGAGAGAGATTAATTCACAACTCGTATAACAGAAAATCTAGCAAAAATGTCGGCATAAAGTTCAACTTGCCGCCGGTCAATTTCGATTTGGACAGTTGGCTACAAAATTTTCTACTGCTGCATTGCGGAAACAGCAACAAACATCTGCTGCTGCTGCTGCTGCCGCTGTTGTTTTGGTTGTTGTTGTTGCTCCGCCCACCCTGGCTGCCGCTGGGCATCAGGCGCATATCATTTAGCCCCAGTTGAACGTATGGTTTTTCGTTCGCTCGTCTTTAGTTTCGTGTGAAGCACCCACCTCTGACCCCTAGCTCCCAACCACTCCCCTCACTCCTTCACCCACCCACCTCCTTTCGCGGCCTGTTGTTTTATCAATTAAAACCACATTTTGTGGCATTTCGTTTCGTTTCATTTCGGTATTTTTTTATGATGACTGACTGCCCACCCCAGCACTTGGGGCAGCTAACGGTTAATGCACGTTGCTGCTAGTGAATTATTAAAGCGCAGCTAAATGCAATTTGCGACCACAGCCGAAGAAAAGTTTTGTGGCTCAGACTTAATTTCTATAGCAATTACTTTTCGCTTCAAGTGCTTTTTGGCAGATTGAAGAAGGTGCTAAGGCTTTACCATAAGATTAGAAAATCTTTGTGGGTTTTGTGGCTTGATTATCTGAGAAAGTTTCAGCTCATTTATAAGAGGAGCAACTTGAACTCTTGAGAATTGCTTAGAGAGGCGCTGTTTATTAAGCAATTCAAAGATGGACTTCAAGTGAGGGGGCTAAGATCGAAGAAAGTCGAAGAGAGGAAGATGAAATGAATGGGAATGAAGAGAAAGAGAGAGAGAGAGAGAGAGAGAGAGAGAGAGAGAGAGAGAGAGAGAGAGAGAGAAAGTAGAGAGTAGAGAGGAAGTAAAGAGAACAAGACACAGATTTTTAACGATATTGGCGATATAAAGATAAAAGTAATTAAGAAGATAAGGATAAATACCCATGAGAGGACAGAAATGAAAGAAAATTATTTATATACCAAAAGAAAGATAAGGAAATATATATATTATATATATTGAATTTCAAACATATTCCAATATCAATATGATAACCAGTTTAATTGAAGCCCAAGCCTATATATTGAACAACAATACCAGGAATATGCAATCTATCGATATGATTAATGCTTCCCCATGGACTAATACATCAATTAAATTATGGCGAAAAAATATGGAAAGAAGAGAAAACCAAAGCCAAACAAACAAACAACTTGGTACACAAGCGCAATATGTAATCATAAAGTACACACACACACACGTGGACAACAATATACAGGGTGTTTATGTGCCTGTGTGTGTGTGTTTGTTTATGCTGTGGAGTCTTTTAACCTATCAGTTGGCTAATCGATCGATTGATTGCAGCGACTGATAACCACAGCAACAGCAACAGCAATGACTGCAACAACAGCTAGCCAAAGGTTGATAAACCCATTCCCTAACCCTTCCCCTTGCTTTTATCCATTTGTCCTCCCCCCCCGTGGCCACTTCCACTTCATACTGTAATTGTAATTGCGCGCAACTAAATTGGCTTATAGAATATTTATGGATTTATCGTGCGTATATCGAGAGCACAGCTGTCGCCAGTTGTTGTAGACGACATTGGAATGCAAAGGGAGGGCAGTGGGAGGGGCGCAGCGATTTAAAGAGCGGCTTTGCCTTACTATTATTTAGTTTATTAATTGTATCTGTATCTGTGCAAATTCCATAGCAGCTGCTAATTCCATATGGTAGTGGTAGTGCTGCTGCTAGTTACGCAACCCTCAATTCCAATTTGTGGGTGGTGCAGTGGTGCAGTGGCGCAAGGCCGTTTAATGACCAATGACCGGTCGCTCATGCATGTAGGTCTGCGGCGCAAGTTGTTGGCTGTTGGCTTGTGCTGTTGTTGCTGGCTTCGCTTTAATGCTGTAACAAAAGCTTATGTTGTTGTTGTTGTTGTTGCTGGCACACATTGTATAGTTGTTGTTGGTGTTGTTGTTCTTGCTGTTAGC